AACCCCTGTCCTAATCAGTTCCCCTGGCACTGGTCCTTTGCATAATCGCGCGTTCGGTTCGGCCACAGTATTCTAAAAGGAAACAACGTTTAGTGAACGGGTTCGCATTAATGGATTTCCACCGTTGGTTTTCCACCGCCTGGATTTCCACCGTTGGTTTTGTTCAAAATAAAATATCATGTTTCACATTTAACAGCTGGAGCCTGCGTTTCCAGGATCGTGAATGGGAAACTCGTCCAAGTTGGTGATTGCGAGGTAAAATTATGTTTCTATTTTATCAGGTGTCTTTATACATTTCGTACATCTTTAGTAAATTCTTAGTTAGGCACAAAAATTTGATTATTATACTTATGACATGCGTTGTTCGCTTCGCACAAACTAACTGTTAGAGCATTATGACGTTATAAAAAAGGACTGGCTATCGACTTTGCAACGGAAAGGGATTGGTATTACTCGTACGTGCTAGGCCAGTGTTTCCCAACCTGTGTCCGCGGTCTCTAATGAGTCCGCAGAGCGTTTGAATGAGTCCGCAACGAGTAATAGGTTATAAACGCTATGCAGTAATATAGTTCATGTAGCCTAGGTCACTAACCTTTTTAGTGTCGCAGACCACTTTCACGTTTAGAAATTCATCGCAGGGCATAAACGGTTTTACCAAACTTACGTATCAGTTACAATTTACGTCAGAATTTACGGAAAACGTAAAATAAAATTTTATTCACATAAAATTTAATCGAAATAATTACCGGTTACTGAGTATGGCTGGGCAAAATATTCGAACATTAAACTATTAGAATACCTTACGTAACACGTGACTTGAACACGGCACGTCATTCCCGCCTCGCTATATCAAACGATTGGATTGCACAGCGTACCTGCGGATTTCTGACAAAAACATGAGACGCACCCTCAGCTTACGGACAAAAACGTAAAAATTGAGTGTTATATTTGCGTTGCTCTTTTGCCCTTTCCAGTAAATTATCTTTGCAAAGCTGTATTTACAGCCCAGGATATGATAAAAACCCAAGTATGGCAACCGGTTCCATTACATTTGAACCACGTACATCTGAACCCACGACAATTGCACCTGCATAGTAATTGCACCTATGGAAATTTTTGTTGTTTTACGGATATTTGAACCCATACTAACCCTATCCCATGGGTTTTAGCACCCGCATATAGATTGAACCCGCGGATATACACATGTATTCAAATGTACGTGGGTTCAAATGTACGGTCACCATGGCAACCAACGGCAACCAGAAGATGACATTAGATGTGCATTATCGAATAAAGACTCTGATTTCGACAACGGTGGTGGTGCGAGTTCAGGGACAAGGTTCCCATTCAAAATGTGTAAATGTGAATAATGAACTGACTTCGTTAAAATTATGTTGTTTTTCTGGTGTTATTGTTTCTCCACACAGAGTTCGGTTACAATTAAAGAAACTTGAGTCCGCAAAGATTTTCGCTGGCGAAAAAATAGTCCGCGACCAAAAAACGTTGGGAAACGCTGCACTTGACTAAACTGAAACCTCGTTATGCGAGCCGCGCACAATTCAAAATCGGAACGTTTCCGATGGCAGCACAATTTTTCCTTGTGGGGCCGCTGTTTGCATTATTAGAAGGACTCTTGGATAAAATCCAGCATAGAAACGTGTCATAATTACTTTATTACTCTCCTGTATTTTGTATTCATTTCACAGAAAAACGATGGATCCGGTGAGTTCGCCCTATTTCGAAACGATGCATATTTATGCCTTTCACTCCGATCAAGCCATTGTACGCGCAGACAAGGAGCAACTCTTCATTTTAAATTACCGGGGTCAACCAGCACGTCATAGGGATGATTTAGTTGCTTAGTTTGATGAATAAAATTATGATGATAATACAAACATTTGACCTTCAATTTATATGCCATTCTCAAATTATTATTTATATATATTTTGATGGGCAAAGGTGCGTGAGGTAATCTGCGTAAAAAGTGTAAAATATGAATATGAACTGTATAATATGAAAACTGATTTAAAAATCAACTTTTATGCGCACAACAAAAATACGTCATTTTTTTACAGAAATCGCCAGACTGATCAAAAAGAGTCTTGATGAGAAAGAAAAGGCTAGCAGTAAATTCTTTTGTATTTTGTGGTTTGGTAGTCTGACTAAAAGGTCGCCACATCTGTCAGATAGTTAGCATTTTCATGGCGCATATGTTTGAATCCAGCTTTAATTCGTATACTCAAGTATGGGTACTCCTGAAGTATGCGCACCAAGATGTCGCACAAACTGAATCATGATGTGGTACTTCATCGCTGTGTAATTATGATTATGTGATTATTTAAAATGACCCCAATTTTGTTGTTTTTAGGGGGTTGTGGTGTCATATACAATTCCAAGTGCTTCCGAGCAGTTATGTATAAAACACAGAATATCACCTTCAACGATGCTCGATCAATATGCAAATCAATGAACAACAGGATACCGGCTAATATTCACGACTTTGAACATTACCAGATGCTGCTCACTTATCTACGTTCAATGATCCCTGCTGGCCGGATTTCGATTTTTATTTGGACTGGGATGCAGTATAAAGTAGGTGTAATGAGTAGCGAATTTGCGTAATCTACACAGATTTTAACTTGTTTTGTCTCAAAACTAAGCAAGAGGGGAAGGCGGTGTGGTTCATCGTGTTAAGCGTTTGGAATACGCTCGCCATCGCACCTCTGACTACCCGGCGTGGGTTCGCAGGTTCAAATCCCATTCGGGGATGGTTGTGTGCGAGAGGATTGCTGGATTCCTCGCATCCGTAGGGTGGTTCACGTGACCACTGGTCGTCTTTATCAACCACCAAGTCCATGCGTCCGTAAACATATAACTGGCCGACTAATCCCATACCCGACATGGATTGGTAACCGGACGAGAGGCCGTGCTTTGTCATATGATTAAACCGTTTTCTCGACTTTGCTTTCACCCGCGATAAATTATGTAAATTCTATCATATCCTAATTTAAAGCTGTTCATTAAATTTTTACAGAACAATCAGCTTTTGGGAGGGGAAGCTCTACCAAAAGAAGTGTGGATTGATAGCTATCCCAAACCCGCTACATCGTGGACAAATGTTGCTCTTAGTATCAATAAAGACCAAAATGCAGATCAGGGTATTTTCAATGTTCCATCACACTATCTTAGGTTTGGTGTTATCTGTGAAATATAAAACCAGCCCAAAACCTGATAGAAATCTGTTGACGGACTGCATGAATTAAAGGACAAAAGCAAACAGTTAGGGTTAGGAACTCTAATACTGACTATAAACGTAATAAACATTTTTTCAAACCGATTCCGAAAATATTCTGTAAATTAGTCAACCTTCCAAGGAGTAACGTTTTCTATAAATTATTCAAATGTCTTAATTAACTGTGAATCTTACTAGCGAACATGGGGAGAGCTGACCCTGATTGGTTCAATGCTTGTATTCTGACTGACAACATAAATATCTCTCTCTCTCTCTTCCTTAGTATTTTACTGTAATCTATATAGATAAATCAATCAATCATTTATTTTGGTTCTGTGACATAAACAATACAAAAAGTAAACAGACAAAACAAAATACCTGTTGAAAAAAATAGTGATTTCCTAGGGCCCTTGATTTTACAAACTATTCATTCTTATATAATTAGGTTAAGATCGACTAATGTACTACTAAGCAAAGACTATAAATGTATGATTCAAGCTTATATTATTCTTTAATGCTCTTTTTCTATTTCTGTATTCATGACATTGTTATTTTCATTGTTTTATTTTTAAATATTTTGATTCATCGGTAAAGTTCGCTTTTGATTAGAATTGCGGTAAATAAAAGACAACACAAGAATGTTTGCCTCAAAACTTGCTTCACTTTTTCACTTACTTATATTATTCATTATTCCTTTACAATTATTAACCGTATAATCCATGCATTGAATTTGTCGTCCTGTATATTGAAACTTTTTTCTCTGCAAATAAAATTCACGGCTGTCTTACCAAGTGTGGTTTCTGTATATAAACAAACATAATAATAAATATTGATTCGATCGTATTTGGGTTTTCTGTTTTGTCAGTTTATGGGAATCAAGTCTAAAAGAGAATGAATGATCCGTAAATATAGAATACTCGTTCGTGAAAATGACCACGGTACCCTATTTATGAGTATCTTAGATAAGGCAGATATATTAGTCGGAGAATTTCAGAAACAAGCTTAGTTCAGTATGGACTAGTGACTGATATGTCTGGCCAATGAGCATGCTCATTGGTCTGGCTAACCATGTTGAAATCATAAGGTGGAGATTGCGGGTGTAAGGACACGAAAGCCAACCATCTCATTCAGGATATATTATCGACTTTAATCTCCTTTTTGTAATAAAAACACATTTTATAAACACAATTGATTATACATACGACACGATTGCACTTTGTTGCAGGAATAATTTACCACTATGCATAATAATGTATCGCGGAACGAAAAAAATTGATATGAGTGGAACAGAAAACAATAACATATATTTTCATATTATTGGACTGTAAAGTAGAATCACAACTTCAATCAAGTTTTTTTTCTCTTTTTCGTCCAATGTGTCGGGTTCATCATATTAATATATCTGCGGTTATTCGACGCCTCAAAAAAACATTACATTATGACAAAGTCGTCGTTAACGTAACCGACACCAAGCTCAAATCCTGCTGTGCCTCACCTGGAAAAGATCTCAGCGGCCCATGCTTTTGTTGCAAGTCTTTTGGCCGCCTGCAGGATCGCAATAAGTTCATATCTTACCGAATATCATGGCGAAGAAGTATGAATCACCTTTTATTTGGTTGGTCATGTTAATCAGTAAAATCATGCAGAACAGAAAAAGCACGCGTTTCCGGTTTAGCAGAAAAACAACAGAATTTTTCGCAAACCGACAAAAACACTTCGCAGACCGGCCGTTAGAAATCAATGCTTTAGAATTTGTACAAAATGGGAATACGCTTGACATCGCACCTCTGGTCGCTCTGCCTGGGTTCGAAACTGATACTGATTATTTATCCCCAAGAAAAGGCGAACTAGGACCACCTGTCAGTCCGATGACTCCAATCACCCCTCGCCTTGGAAACGCTGTTGATTTTGCGTATGGTGATGTGTTGCTGCCTCGCTGGTGAATTAGTTCTTTCCAAAGTCAGAAAGTGTATTTTTCGTTGAGATATTCGCTATCATGTGGGATTAAAAGCACCACGGTTAGAAGATGAGCCATTCTATCCAAACTTCTCGCAAAGGCTCTAGTATTCACGAAAATATGACCAGCAGATCTTCTAGCGGCTTCGGCGAGGATAATTTTAGTTTACGACCTGATACGGCACCTGGTAACCCGAGAGATCAGATTTTACCGATTTCTCCTTTAGCAATGAATGAGAGGTCGAAATCGGCGCCGAGAAATATGCGAATGACAACCAGATATGGTTCAGAGGGTCATGTTAAATTGTCATCTCGTGAAATTCTTGAAAGTGGAAGCCCTGTTAACCGACAAGAACGGCCAAAAACGGTTGAACCGGAAGTCCAGGAGACGTTACACAAAGAACAACCCTGGTACATGGCTATGCTAAGGGAAAAAGAAGAACGACTTCTACAAATGGGCGATGAGATTAATCGCTTGAGTGCTTTCGAAATTGATTCTAAACAAAAAGATAACGAAATATTTGACCTTAGAAGACAGTTGGCACAAAATGTTGTTATAAAAACGACTCAAGAAACGGAATTAGAGGCAATTGTGGCGGATCTGCGTAAGAGAACGCAAATTTTGACGGACGAAATTGTTCGTCTTGGACCATTTGAAGAAGAATGCAAAAAGAATGATAAGATTATTTCTCAATTCCAAGAAAAAATTGAATTCTTAGAAAGAGAATCGCAGCAGAAATCTCGCCCAAGTACGCCATCTAGTGGAGCAAAAAAGCCTTTGATTTATGTTGACGAAACAAGCACAACAATTTCTGAACCAGAGGGTTCTTTGCAAAAAAATCCACAAGAATATGACGAAAAAGTCGAAAGTGTTCGTGAGTCGTTACGAAGCGCTAATGCTGATGCAGACGCTTTACGAGAACGATTCGACAAGATGGCTCCCGAGAAATTAACCCCTGAAGACGAGGTCATGGCTATGAGAGAAGAGCTTGTTAAAAGAGAGCAAATAATTTCTGAGTTGCAAAATCGATTTGAAACGTCGCAAAAAGAATTGGTTATGAATGACGGCTTCATAAACGCTTTACAGCGTGATTTAGAAAGCACTGAAAACAAAGTGATGAAATTGACATCTCAAGTTGAGAAAGCAGAGTTTCAGATGAACGAAGCATTAGCAGAAGCTAGGACAATGTCAAAAAAGTTTTCGGACCTGCGGGAGAGAAGAAAACACAGCGATATGAATGCTGAAACTGAACATGAGTTGACAATCCTGAAGAACGCTTTTAATGAGATTCAACAAAAAGCTGACAAATTGAAGGAAAAGTCTGACAAACAGAGCAAAGAAATTAGGGAGAGTCACAAAAAAATTAAAAAAGGTGGCGAGCTAGATAAAAAACAGTCGGAGGAGATTAAACACCTATGTCGTGATTTGGAAGATATGCGACGTCTGGAGCAATTATCTCGAGTTTCCGCTGAGCAAATGTCGACAAGATTCGAACGTCTTCGCTCTCGAATTATTCAAGCTGTATTTATCACACCTGGAGCGGCTCATCCAAGCACAGCGATTAGCGACATTGTAGTTTTTAACGCTGTGAAAAAGATAATTGAGGATAGAAGTGAATTTCATAAGTTATTAGAAGAAACAAACGCAGATTTTCCACCGTTATTAGTCGAGCTCGACGCAACTTTGGAAGAAGAAAAAATCGAAGAAAGTAGCGCTACTACCGCAACGAGTCAGCAAGAACGAAAATCTGGGAAAGGAGGAAGGAAATCTCCGAAGCACAGATAGTTATTTTTTGCACAATTTTAATTTTTTTATATCACGTATTATACAGGGTGTTCATAAAGTTCTAAATTTTTTCTCAAATTGTAAGGTAATTTATCTATACCATAAATATTTAATGGCCATTATGTATTAATTAATAAATGAGTTTAAAAAAAGTTAAACAAGCATTGATTCGGATAAAACAAACCTGGTTAAGGTATATTGAGAACTGACTTCATAACAAAATTTAGAAATGTGTGAATAGAAATTTATTGATACTATATTATAGTTTGTTTTCCTCTACAGGTGTATTGAATGATGTAAGAAATTTAAATAAACGCTGATTAAAATAAACGAACCTTGAGACCAGACTGTATAATTGTAATGATGTAGACTTTATGAACGCCCTGTATTTATATCATATTAGATATAGGTTTTACACCTCATTTCATGTTCAAATTTCTGGTATTAGCAGAATCCTAATTGTAATAAAAGACTGTTGAATCACTGTATTTATTACCCCAAATCAATTTTATTTTTTTCTAATTTAGCCACTGTAGTAGTTCCAATGTCCACTGTTGAATAATTTTATGATAATTAATTTAATAATGATTTTTATGGTAGAGTTTAGTAACATATTTTTTGATTGAAGCAAGGTTGCATTTTAACAACATTGTGAAAATATTGGCGTTTCACTTTTTATCATATATCCAAGTCCATGGAACCAGAATCAGATAATCAACTTTCTAGCTATTGCTATACCCATAGAATGTTCTGTCAATATATCCTTCATTGCTGTTTGGGTTCAAGTAACAAAAGGAGTTCCAGTAAGATTTTTATCCTACATTAGATTATTGTGTCAGTATATGCTTTCTTGTGTTTAACTAATGAAGCATGACAGTCAGAATTTTATTACTTTGTTTCAATTAGGAATATTCTGTCAAAGTCATGCTCCATTGCTTTTAAGGTTCAAGTAATGAGGCATGGCAGTCAGAACTTTATCCACCTGCAATTGCTCTTTGGGTTTAACCAATGAGGCGGGCAGTCAGAATTATACCCACCCAGTTGAAATGGGACTATTCTGTCGAAGTTATACTTCATTGATTTTGTGGTTTATTTCAATGCATTTTGCCATCAAGTTCAAAAATAATAACATCAAAGGTAGTTAGTATGCATTGCTGGTTAAACACATTTCACTGTGATTTGTAGCCGTCCACTGTTAGTTGGTATATTACTTGAAAACTTGAATGTATTTTGTGAAAATTGAATTTTCTTGTTACCAAATTGTTCCTAATGAGTTATTATAAGCTGGGGGAGTGTTGCATATAAAATTTGATATTTTGGGTGAAAATTGGGAGTTTTTATACTTATGTTACTACCCATGTATCCTCGAATATAAGCCGGCCCCCTAAAGTGGTTGAATCATCAAAATTCAGATAAAAACTGGCCCCTCAAATCATAACACACTGCACGCACCTATCACAGCAAAAGTTGCTTTAGTGCGATCAGAGCTATGGTCGTATAATCTGCCCCCTAAGTTTGGCAACTTTTTTTTTTAGTTATCTCAGCTTATATGGGAGGATATATGGTAATTAAATTCTTTAGGCATTCTGGTTAGCGAAAAGTTTTCGTAAAATGCACCATTTTTTTTAATTGTGATTATACTTATAGCTGCACTTTTTTTTGAGAATCTGCGTAATGTACATATAATTTGATTTCAAATAGTTTGTATAATGAAATGTATTTTTTTAGAATTTTAGATTTATCTTGTTACAGAAATAAGATAGCCAACGCTGTGATTCTGATTGTGGAACTGTTGCTATTTATCCCTATGTGAGGCTGACGACTGGAAAAGACTGTATACTTCATTATTGTAGTACACAAATTGGGATATTATAATACTTCTGTTTTATTGTTTGCGAATTTCTACCGAGTGACTTTATATTTTGAATATTGGTGGTCTCTACATCGGAACAATTTTTATTTTTGAAATTTTTGATGAGAAAAATGACGAACCAATGGGAGGATCTGAGGAAACAAGCTCGTCGACTTGAGAACGAACTCGACCTAAAACTAGTCTCGTTTAGCAAACTCGGGACAAGTTATAGCAGCCATGCAAGCGACCATACACCTCTTCTTGGGAATTCGAGCAGCGAACGAATGTTCGAAACCATGGCGATGGAGATCGAACAACTTCTGGCGAAATTAACGGGCGTAAACGACATGATGGCCAATCACAGCGAAGCAATTAACGGTCCAAGTTCTGCAATGCATACTCTACAACGACACAGGGACATACTTCAAGACTACACTCATGAATTTGCGAAAACTAAGAGCAATATCGTCGCCCACCGTGAAAGGGAGGATTTAATCGGATCGGTTCGACGTGATATCGACGCTTACAAAAGCGGAAGCGGAGCTAATAGTCGACGTACCGATCTTTATCTAAAAGAAAACGAACATTTAAGGAACTCTGATCGCCTTGCCAGCGAGGCAATCGACATCGCCATGGCAACGAAAGAAAATTTGGGAACGCAACGAAAAATTTTCAAAAATATGACAACGAGATTGAATAACCTTGCTAATCGATTCCCAGCTCTTAATAGTCTTGTGCGACGAATTAAAATGAGGAAGCAAAGGGACTCGCTTATCATGGCTTCTGTTGTGTCCATCTGTATTATACTCATTCTGATATACTGGTTACATTAGCTGATTTAAGAAGAGCATTCTAAATATTATTTCTGACTTTTACATCTAGAGATGCGGGCCCAGAGTTTGCAGATCTGCAGACAAATAAGAAGCACTTGCATGTGCTAAATCAGGGGTGTGCTACCTGCACCTTCAATAAAACATTGTGCTACCCGCGAAATTTTTTTTTGCCTGCGACTATGAGATAGCCATTATTGAATAAAAGTTGGGTCCCCGCGGTTCCACCCAGTTATTTCTATCTGGCTTATTATGGTGTGATTTTTGGGTCTTGGGAATATGATTGATACTGCTTGATAACCAGTGTTAGTTTTCTTTCACCCTAAAATTCTGTTTTATTTTCTATGTTATGGCCATACAGAGTATTTTCAATATGCTGAATAATAAACTGTATGTCATTGCATATAGGATGATCTCGCATATAATTCGACAGCCCTAAAATGGTGAATTTATAAAAATTAGCATATAAGGCACCCCTACAAATCATAACACGTTGTACGCACCTATCAAAGCAAATGGTTACAGAAAAGAATTAGTGAAATTTTGTGTTAAGTCGAATAAGTCTAATTTTATATATTGCGATCAGAGTTATGCATGTATATGCCGCATTTTTAGTTTTCAACTTGGCTTATATGCGAGGATATATGGGTACTGATTGTCATGCTAAGCACGCTCTATTTTATGAGCTACATTCAGTCATTCTGGTAAGACCCCTGTTATGAATATCTTTTAAATGTACATTGAAGTCGAAGAAAAATTGATATTTTTTTTCAAATTTCAGAATAGATGATTATTAATGATTTTGGGCCGTTCTTGGTTTGATCTTGCAAATCTAGGCAATGTAATCAGATTCACGCACTTTCTGTCTCACAGACTTTTCCGACCTTAAAGCAGCATAAGATGGTTTGAGTTATCATTACTTATCGATTTTAATCGGTTGATAGGTATTTGTCTGTCTGTTAGATGCACGCGATATCTCACGAAAGCGAGATTGAATCTGCTCCAGATTTTGCATGTGCATTCATCATATGTCAGACCAGATTTTGGTACCGTACAAATGCATGTAGATTTATATATTTATTTGGTCACAGTTATAGTTGTATTGCCGGCAGGCAAACAATATATGGCGCTTGTGCTATGAATAAATATCCATAAAAATATTTCAAAAAATGATAACTCAAATTTAATGTCGGAAAAGTTTGTGGGACGAAACTAGGGGCGCAGCCAGGAATTGTCAAATGGACGGATTCTAAAATTTATAATTGCCAAGTTAGGTCGTAAGAGAAAGCGTTTTTGCATTTTAAAACGGGGGTTCCAACGTTCAAAACCGCTCCGCTGGCTACACCCCTGGACGAGACGTCTGGAACAAAGTCTTTATATCAAGTAATCACATATGTAATGAAAAACTATTTATAATTATCTGCATGTTGCGCCGATATAAATATATGTATTGTTCAATGACTAGTTATCAGTTTAAATGTTATATATTGTTGTATTATATTAATCTATTTAGACTTTGCTTATTGCTCTATTCTGTGAATAATTCTTTGCTTTTTAATGTTCTTCATGTTAATATTGAATTCTGTGGTGAATCATCTATTAATTTTCAATCTTTTTCTTGTATCTAGTTAAATCATTTACTAATTATCGGTCTTCAATCATAATTACAATCATGGATTCTTTGGATGCTCTCGAGAAATTTGAGAGCAACGAAAAAGAGAGAGAGTTTACAGATGAAGAAAACGACAGTGGCGATGAAGCAGAAAGGCATAATAATCTTCTTAACTCGCTGGGTATCGAATCCAAAAGTGACGAGAAAAAATTGAAAAATGAGCAGCGTTCAGAAGCAACTAATGATGTTTCAATTTATTCTTTGAATGCGGGTTCAAAAGTCAAAGCTCATGACCTTATAAAAAGTTTAAAAGAAACAGTGAACGTTAATTTATTGAAAAAAGGTCTCTCCAAAGTTGAGAACTCAAATACCCAATTAGCCCCCTTGTTACCGAAAGTGGCTGCAGACAGGGTGGAGAGAGATGCAGCGTATGATCAGACGTCGGAAAAAGTTTCTCGGTGGGACAACATTGTGAAACGAAATCGCAACTCAGAACAATTATCATTCCCGCTCAAGCATGAAAATTTACATCTTAACACCGTTGACGATTTTGTTCAGAAGTTCAAACCAAAAACTCCATTGGAACAACAGATATATGCTTTGTTAAAGGTAGGTTATATTATGGTTGAAACTCTTAAGACAGGGCTGTGCAACCTGCTGCCCACGGCAAAAATGTGGCCCCCACGGAACAATTGTGCGGCCTGATGAAAAGCGCCAATTTGGAAACAATTTTTTAATTTAATTTGGTACGAACGAGTAATTTAATATACGTTGTGAAGCCTACCTAAGTCCAATTTATTATCCATGACTTCACAATGCCTTAAAACAGCTAGCTTATGCAGACAACGTTTGTCACCAGATCAATATTCAAAATTCAAGTTTCTGTAACTACTGAGCCTACTAGAAATGTTAAATAAAGGTGCGACCCACGGTTTCACCCAGTTAATTCTATCTGCACCTCCTGTATTAAAGGTTACACACCCCTGCTCTAGGACAGGGTGGTCCAAACCCAGGCCCGAGGGCCACATGTGGCTCGCCGCTTCATTATCTGTGCCCCGCGTCACATTCGGAGCGTAATCAAAAAATCGCATTTCGTGTTGTTTCGTAATAAAATTGCCCAGAAAAATCTTTTGACATATTGTTACATCACTAATGTCACTGAATTGACTAGTTTTATGGCTAGCCGAGGCAAATAGCGAAGTTGGATGATGTGCTTGACAGTCTAAATTAATATCTGGCTTTCTATCTTTTCGGTCGGGAATATAATTCGACACCTCAAAACCAAACAGTGCTAAGTTCACTTTTCCAAAAAATGACATTTTTCAATTGCTGATTTTCCTGGACTTAGCTCTACATTTTGGTCTATTTGCCTTATCTCTAGGTGCTCTAGATCTCAAGACAGCTATGGACATAACCCTGATTTTTTTAGGGCATTTGAGAACTAAACAGAGCTGTGTCTACTATAGTGGACTTAGCTCTGGATAACAGCATTGTAAGTTGAGGCTAAGTCCGTTTTTTGGACATAGCTCCTCTCAAAAAATATAATACAAAGCGCTAAGTCCATACCAGCCTCTATAATAACATAATAAAGGGGCCCTAAGTCCAATAAAATTGTTTCTGGTCCAGAAAATTGAGAGCCAAAAAGGGTTAAGTCCAAAAAAAAAAAACCCAAAAAAAATTGGGGCGGAGCACAAATTTTTTTATACCATCTAAATATGGCCTTCATTGTAAGTTGTAACTTTGGTGGACCATAAAAACTAGACATCCTCGATGTAAGGTATTAGAGAAATAAAAAAAAGAAACAAAAAAAAAACGTTTTTTGTGTTTTTCTCTAAAACTAGAAAAATGGACTTAGCCCAATTTGGATTTCATGCGTCGATATGCTAACAATAATATAGGCACCATAGAAAACTAAAAATCTAATGCGAATTCTATTAGCTTGGGATGTCTGATAACTATGTGTTTGCACAATAAAAGTGTTTGTTTTGTATTGCACTGTTCATTTATTCTTGGAACTATTGTGGCCCGCAAACAATAAAAAATAAATTTGTGGCCTGCGGAGCCGACAACCTTGGACCACCCTGCTCTAAGAGATGGCCAATACGGAATAAGCCACTACCTTGAGTACACAAGTCATCTAATCAGTTTTCATATGTTATGGAATAGATATCAAAGCTGTTACTTTTAAAAGGGAATAGAATACAAATATTATTGTAACAATGAGTTGTAATCACAAAAGTACAATTACAGAAAGGATCATAGGTTATTCATATTTTGTTTTGATTGGCTGTCTTTCAGGAACTTACGCCATACCTTTTTTAAAATATTATTTTTCTTTTTCGTCTGAGTTTGAATATGCGGGAGACAAGGGTATTGTCCAGAAATTTCCATATCCATATGCTTTTCTAATATGCATGGTGTTCATAAATTTTTGCCACACATGGTGATGTTCCACTCTTACTATACTTATCACACAGCTCAATGTTATATTAATCATGGTTTATGTGATGAAAAATGATATCACGAGTTACTCGTTCGTTTACTGTAACTAAAGGTGACTCAACTAATCATTTGTAATAATGAATATTACTAAATGTACGAGCCTTCGATTATTCACATTTGCTATTCTGAAGAGATATAGAAATGGGTTACAAAATTACTTGCACACAAATTATTTGTCAACTTTTAAAATGTTTCGCTTCAAAAACGAAAAAAGGCAATTCTGCAGTTTCTAAAAAAAAGATAACTGCTAAACTGCCTTGCGGTTATCACAATGAGGTTCGCCAATAGTAAACACTGATGTAGGGTTTAAGAGTCGAGACTTCTTACATTCTCTGGAATAAAGTAAAATTTAAAAACCCACGGGAAGTCATAATGAACAGTGGTAATTGATTAGTTTTCTACTTTGGTTTACAGCTTTCATCAAAAAAGGCATTTTAGGTCATTCAGATTTTTAATGATTTGAATTTGAAAATGATTAAAAATTTTCGATGACCAATGATTTGATTTATTCTTTATTTTTACGGTTTTCAGAAATTAATGGCGCTATTTTAGGTCAGTGGTTCCCAATCTTTTTACCTTGGCGGGTTGGTAACACCAAATAAAATGACCTCTTGGAACGGCAAAAAAGGGGATCTTTCTCGCAATGAATAAGTGTGACATCTGAGAAAAACAGCTCCACGTTTTTCAAAATGGTAAACGAGAATATCGGTCAGAGACCAAAGACTTATCGATAGAAAGTTAGGGGATCCCCCAAAACAGCGCTCTTACTCCATAGTGACACCTTGTGTCCCATCACTAATCAATTATTAACTCGCTAATTATACAACATAATTCGCCCAAAATCAACAGGCTACTGGTCCGAGATAAGATGAATGCACATGCAAAATTGGAGTATATTCAATCTCACTTTCGTGAGATATCGGATGCATCTAACAGACAAACAGACAGACATACAGATAAACAGACAAACAGACAGATACCTATCAACATACTTACCGATTAAAATCGATAAGTAATTACCATAGTAAATATCCAACGCAATTTGCATTCCTACAACATGCCCACAAAACATATAAAATAACAACACACCGTAACAAAATATTAAAATGACTAATACATGGCATGAAATTAGGAAGGAAAACCTGAACTGGGTCTCATTTAATTGAGTGGCCTTTTTCCTTTTTTTTTTTTTTGACTGATTGAAACGAACCAAAAGTATAAAATATGGCACAAGAATGGCAAATTGGTTTTAGATTATACTGTGACGCTTCAATTGCTTATTAAAACTTTCAAATATAATATCAAATATAATAGTTCTTTAATCAAAATTTGAGTCTTCCGACCTCCTAGAAAATGAAAATTTTAGGTTATAACTGTTAATTAGTCTTTACTTATTCATAAAAATCTGTCATAATAATCACACAGCACAGTATTATTTTTATTAATCACGGTTTATATGATGAAATATGATATTATTGATTACTTTATTCTTTTAATGTTGATGAACGTGACTCAACTAATCATTTATAATCATGAATATGTTTGTAGAATTTATAAACATTTGACTTAATAAAAATTTACTTTTTTGAGTAAGGAATACTCTGCACGCTATTATTGTGCGTTCAGATTTTAGACACCCTTGTTAAAACGCAACAACCCATCTTTCCTTTATTGTGCGTTAGCGCTACCCTGCGCGCTATTATTGTACGTTCAGATTTTAGACACCCTTGTTAAAACGAAACAACCCATCTTTCCTTTATTGCGCGTTAGCGCTACACTGCGCGCATTTATTGTGCGTTTAGATTTTAGACACCCTTGTTAAAACGCAACAACCCATCTTTCGTTTATTGCGCGTTAGCGCTACACTGCGCGCATTTATTGTGCGTTTAGATTTTAGACACCCTTGTTAAAACGCAACAACCCATCTTTCGTTTATTGCGCGTTAGCGCTACACTGCGCGCATTTATTGTGCGTTCAGATTTTAGACACCCTTGTTAAAACGCAACAACCCATCTTTCCTTTATTGTGCGTTAGCGCTACCCTGCGCGCTATTATTGTACGTTCAGATTTTAGACACCCTTGTTAAAACGAAACAACCCATCTTTCCTTTATTGCGCGTTAGCGCTACACTGCGCGCATTTATTGTGCGTTTAGATTTTAGACACCCTTGTTAAAACGCAACAACCCATCTTTCGTTTATTGCGCGTTAGCGCTACACTGCGCGCATTTATTGTGCGTTTAGATTTTAGACACCCTTGTTAAAACGCAACAACCCATCTTTCGTTTATTGCACGTTAGCGCCACCCTGCGCTATTATTCCCTGGAATAAGAAAATGAATGCCTAAAAATGAAGATAAACAGTAATTGCTTAAACCAGCGGTTTCCAATCAGGGGCCACATAGCAGTTTCAGAGGGTCACAATGCCAGATGTAAAACTGATTTTACTTTACAAGAAAACTTTCCGTTCTTTCCAGTTTCATTACTTGATAAGGTTATTTCACAGGATGTCCAGAGATAGTCCAACCGCCAACGTTTAAATAATAATAAGATGCACAACGTAACGATTGGGGTCATTATGGCGTTATTTTCATCTATATCAGGGTGGTCCAAGGTTGTCGGCTCCGCGGGCCACGAAATTATTTTTGCATTGTTCGCGGGCCACAATAGTGCCAAAAATGGGTAAACAGTGCAATACAAAACAAACAGTTTTATTGTGCAAACACATAGTTATCAGGCATAGCCATTCTAGGCTAATTGAATCCGCATTCGATTTTTTTAGTTTTCTATGATGCCTATATTGTTAGCATATATTCCTGACCAAAAAGTTAGAAAGCCAGATAACAATTTAGACTAACAAGCACATCATTCAACTTCGCTAGTTTCCCCGGCTAGCCATAGCACTATTTAATTCAGTGACATTAGTGATGAAAATATGTCAAAAGGTTTTTCTGATTAATTTTATGACAAAACAACACGAAATGCGATTTTTTGATTACTTTCCGAATGTGACGCAGGCCACAGATGAAGCAGCAGGCCACATGTGGCCCGCGGGCCTGGGTTTGGACCACCCTGATCTATATCCTCAACGGAAATTTATATCCTTGAAAATCAAAGTCATATTTCCAGCAGACACAAGTGAGCCTGATGAAACACTTCGGTCGGATGGATGCGGCCTGGGCTGTAATTTGCTCACCCCTGATCTAAGTGCAAACCATTTTTTTAACTTAAGTATGAAAAAAAATTCTTCAGGGTAACAAATACGAAGAGAGATCGGAAAACGGACTTTCTGTTGCAGAGGAAAAAGCATTGAAATCAATCGGAATTCAGGAAGCCCGTCGTAGACGTGCGGAACTACAAAAACATCGAGCGCTACTCTCATACCATGAGGCTAAGAATAGAAGATTGGGAAAAATAAAAAGCAGAAGGCATTTGAGGTAACTATGTACATTTTTTCAGTTTCCAATTTGGTCAATATTTGAGAGAACTGGAATCATTTACTACCTAACTTATTAGGATGGGATTTACATATTTGTTCCGGGGGATAAGGAAAGTCGATAAGACGGATTAATAATATAGCGAACGAACGTTTCTGGTCCGGTTACCATGTCAAAGCATGGACTTGATGGTGGAGGAACCAGCGGTTACATGAACCACCCTGCAGTGTTGAGGAGTCCAGCAATTCTCTCATACATAATCATCATTGCATGGGATTCGAACCTACACAGGGTAATCAGAAATGCGACGATGAGCGTATTCCAAACGGGTTTGGGGGGGCATAATCTGGCGGCCATGAGCTAAAAAGCTTCGGAACCACTGCACTAGGCCATCACGCATTATGTTTAGTTTTAAGGTGGTAAATCCAACTATTGAGTATCAATATTCAAATTTTATTTCAGGATAATTCGGAAACAGAAGGAAAAAAAATCAGTAACAGAATTTGAAGAACTTCAAAGAAAAGATCCTGAAAAAGCAGCTGAAAAACTGAAATACGCTGAAAAAACGAGAGCAGAAGAAAGAGCCGTTTTGAGGCATAGGTGAATACCCATTCATATGTTAATATTTTTATATATTTGGGGAGGGAGAGTTACTTTTAGCTAAAGTAAGTCCTGTTTTGAGGCATAAGTAAACATTATTCATGGGCTATTCATTTAATTTAAAAAAAAAAAAATTTTTTTTGTTTGTATTTTTCTTCTTATCGTTATGAAAAAATCGCTGAACCAATAGTTTTAAAATTTTCAGCGAGTGAAAGATTGTATTTTTTTTGCTAGAAAGCTATTGCTTTTATTCATTTCGAATCTTTCTGTGGGCTCCATAAAATTCTTTTTAGTGTTCTATGACGTTATTGAGAATTGTGCACCTTTGGCGATTGTTGCGAAGACTGCAGTACCGGTAGTCTACTGTAACAGATTGCATTTCTATACTACTTCGGTTTGGACTTTGTGTACATATATTTGAGCATCTCTATGTTCATAACAGCTCTAATTCTTTGTAGTCGATGACACTGCAGTGATCAACTGTAGCCTTACGTAAAGACGAGTTTTCTTTACTTCTTAGTGAGTGGGCATAACCTAAAAATTTTTTTTAATTAGACAAGGCAGCAAATGGGCAAAGAACCGAATGTTGATGGCGAAGTACGATGAAATGACCAAAGTACAACTCGGGGATCAAAGAAAGCTTCATTCAGAGCTCGTCCAGAAGAATTTGACAAAGATTGAGGATTCTGATGAGGAGGGGGAAGAAAATGAAAAAAATAATGGTGAGTGGTTTTTGGGAGAACTCAGGTCTTTCTTTCAGGTCGTTCTTTCAGGTCTTTTGCCAATTTTTCACACTCATTGTGTGAAAATATCTGTACTTCTGAAGTATGTGAACCAAGATGACGGACACGGATCATAGTATGTGTACCAGGTTAGGGTTTGGCCATAATTTTATTCCAATTTTTCTTATTTTAGCTTTATAACGTTTGGGGACTAGCCAAGTGACTCTCGTAGTAAAGTTATGGCCTGGCTCTAACCTAGTACACATACTACGCTACGGTGTCCGCCATCTTGGTTCACATACTTCAAGAGTACCAAATTGTTTGCCAAAAGAGGCAACAATTCCAAAATGACTAACAACACTTTATTTTTGTCCGCAGATCTGAGCACTCTTGTATCACCGACAGCATCAATGCAGACAATATATTTGCCAAAAGATAATCCGTGGTTGAGACAAGGAAAGGCAGAGAAACTGAATGATGAGAACAATAATGATGAGGGGAGTAAGGTAAATAATGCAGAGATTTTTAACCATTCTTGAAAGCGGAACACTTTTTATATCACAAAATTTTACGGAACACCGAATAAGCGTTTTCAGTTGTCGGTTTTTTATTTCATATATTTATCCACAATAACAAAAGTATAGTTATACCAGGGGTAGGCAAGGTTTTGGACCACCTAGTAAGTGTGACGTAAAAAGTTCCATTTTTTGAACAATATTACAGTGTTACAAAAACAAAACCGGAAAAGCCTTTTTGTTCGAACTGAATTTAATCACAATTTCAACAAATTTCCTGAGCCATTTTCTTAGATTGAACATCAAACATCGATTTTAGTTTATATGTGGCACCATCCGATGGGCCCAACAGGCCGGGTTTGGCCCACAGGCCGTAGTTCGCCCATGTCAATGATATAACGTGCGGTGCGCTCTGTGATATCGTTGGCAAACTGCATACAACTGACAAATGTTAATGACAAATTAAATTTGAGGTATATTATTATGTCATAAAAACTCGAAAGGATATTCACATGGAATCACAAAATTACTGAAGAGTCACTTTGTTACTAATTACTCATACATTTCTTCATTTTGCAGGGCGCAGAGGACCTTTCACCTAGAAATAGATTATATACAAAGAGTAAATCTGCTATTCTAGGATTAGAAAAGGTGACTAAGCAAAAACAAGAATCTGATAATGACTCATCAGAAAATGAGGAAGAAGAATTAAAGGTATGTTTTGGTTAGAAATCTCTAGTCACTGAGTCAAGTTATGTCACAAGTCATCTGTGTTGAATTGGTACTGCCGTAGTGTGTGTACCAGGTTAGGGTTAGGCCATAATTTTATTCCGCTTTTCCTTATTTTAGTTCTATTACGAGTTTGGTGACTATTTGTGTTAGTCAAGTGAATACACCTCGACTTGATGTAAAGTAGGCAAACAAAATTAGTTCATATTGGTACCCGCACTTCTGGAGAGCCGTTGAATCAATCACTTGTTGAGTGTCACTGGCGCTTGATTGACAACAAATCCAAGTCATTTTATTTTGATGTCTCGAATGACTTTGTGTCTCTCATAAATGGTGACTCATGGGTACTCCTGAAGTATGTGCACCAACATGGCGGACACCGGAACGTAGTATGTGTATCAGGTTGGGTTTAGGCCATAATTTCAGGTACAAATACTACGGGAATCACTTGGTTAGTCCCCGAACTCGTAATAGTACTAAAATAAGAAAATTGGATTAAAATTATGGCCTAACCCTTACCTGGTACACATACTACGTTTTGGTGTCCGCCATATTGGTGCACATACTTCTGGAGCGCCAACTCATGTCCAAAAATTTACGATGTGAAGCACTGATGTTGAGTGTAGGTGGTGGATATATTATGTTATCTGCGAGGGCAGGGTTGCCAAAACTTTCAGGGCCGTGGACCCCCATTTGTGAATCTTAGTTTTGTCGGACCCCCTATCATATGTCGTACCAATTTCTTTGTCTAGCGAAGAAGGACAATATTTTATTTACAACAATACAACACAAAAACGACATTAATGTGATGGATGAGGTGGCTTCTCCACCTGTATCTTGTCATCTTATTGATAAGAGCTGAAATGCTGCCTCGCATATCGCCGTTGCAAAAGGCATTAATGTTTCAATTGCTTTGCTTATAACAATTAATATTCGTAAGTAACGCTCAATCAAAAAGATATTTGGCATTTTGGTTGAAATCAATCATTAAAGACGCTTTTCATAACGATGCGGACCCCTCTGTGCAGTCATCACAGACGCTCAGGGGTCGCGGACCTCACTTTGAGAAACCCTGTGCTAGGAAACCTGCTACATCACACGCTATCTTGCTTAATTTTAACAAAAGAGAAATGCTCATATATATCTACATAAAGGAAGCCTCAATATACAGAGTTTTGTTGGAAAGTCGGCAGACGAGTTTGAATTTTCACTGGTGGATTTTTGTTTCAGGAAGAGTTAAAAGAAATCAAAAGCAGAAAGAAGTTGAAGAAAATGTTGAAAGAAGATTCTGATGAGGAGGATTCAAACATGGAACAGGTATGCCTAGCCAGTTGTCGCCTTCAATATTATTGTAAACAGGGTTGTGGATACTAATATGCCTATACCTGGCACGTGGGCCGAAGAGAGGCCGTGGTTCGTCATATGATTCAGCCGTCTTATTGGTTTTCTTCTTTTTTAGATAAATATGTAAATCCCATCCTTATATAAGAGAATACCTTCATATGGCACTCGGCAAAGCTGTGGCCGCTGGGGCTGGGAATGGTTAACCGGTTAACCGATTTCAGATGGTTAACGGTTATGATTTATTTTAATCGTTACCTGACATCTCAGGTACAAATCCTCTTAATACCGTACATTTTCGTCAAATATGATTATGTCATCTCAAATTTATCTCTTGCGGCGTTTAATTCAAAAAAATATTACTAACTGTGTGGGTAAGGACTCAATAAATGTAAAAAATAATGGAAGTACCAAGGTTGCTGATAATGAAAATTTACAATGATAAATTCAGAATCAGTATTTGGTCGATTTCGTGAAAGTGTTTCCCCTGAAATTCCCAGCCCTAGTGGCCGCCCATACTAGCCATTTGACCTTCAATCCCAGCGGTTCCCAAACTTTTTTGTACCGCCGCCAAATTATCAGTAAAAAAACTCAAGGCGCAGTTCCATAAAAAAATTGCTGCTTTGAAATAAGACTCAATATTGTGATCGATGATATGTACTTTATGTCTTTTAAATTTTTGAAACATGTAGGCCTAAAGGAATAAAGGCAAAAGGTCGTGTATTCTTCCTCGTCTTTTTGAAATAAGAAGCACATTTATAATAAATACAGTATGTGAATATTCAATCATATTTTAGTTATGTATAACACGGTTCTTTTAATTGTTGCAGCGCACTTAGCAACTCGCCCTTTGAGAGCCACCCATACATTTGAGCCATATGAGTGATTCAATTTGCTCAATTTATCATATAGGGTTTCCATTGTATCTTAAAATTTTTCAAAATTTCAAAAGGAATTTCTTGATACCATATATTGTTTTGGCCTTCACAGATGTATTAAATGAAGTAAAAATACTTGAACAATTACTGATTAAAAACTAACAAACCCGGTTAAGATATATTGAGAACTGACTTCATAACAAAATTGAAATTGTAAAGGGACCTGTATATTGAAGCATTTCTATTTTATTTATTTCAAGGACAACAAAGTTATCCAAGAAGAGAGCATTAAAAATTTCAAAGCGGCTCTAAAAAATTTACGAAAAGCCGACGAAAAAACCACAAAAGAATCCGAAGACGAGGAAGAGAGTGAAGAACACATGGGGGAGCCAGAGGGACTTGATATTACGACAGATAGACGAAAAACTTTACAGGATTTGGAACAAGTTTTAAGAAATGAAAACAAGATTGAGACACTTTCGGAATTACATAAAGCCAAAAGTTTGTCAAAAACTGATAAAAAAGGGAAAAATCACCCAAAATTAGATTACATCGACCCGAATAAGGTATTCACGATCCCAACTGAAAATATATTCTCAGAAGAACCTACTTTAGTGCAAAACCATGATGAAGAGGGGGATTCCCCAGTCGGGGAGGATAAAAATAGAATGACGATTCAAGAGGCTTTTGCTGATGATGACGTAATGGCAGAATTCATTTCTGAAAAACGAAAAATGGTTGCGGACTCGAGACCGAAAGTGGAAGATTCAACACTACCAGGATGGGGGGAGTGGGGGGGCGTCGGATTAAAACCCTCAAAAAGAAGACGAAAGAAGTTTTTTATAAAACCATGTCCTCCCCCACCGCGAAAGGACCAACATCTTGGGCCTGTAATTATCAATGAGAAAAGAAACGTCTACATTGCCAAACATCAGATTAATCAGGTAGGTAACATTTTTTACGATGCTTATTCCCGCTTTTGGTCTGAACAAGGTACTGGTTGAGAACCGCGTTAGGCGATTGCGCCACTGAACTTTTCAACTCCATACAGAATGGGATTATAGTGTGTCCTAATTTTAGCCATTTGGGAATAACTATCTGGGCTTGAAAGTCTGAGCTTGTCATGTTTTCATTGGAGTCTGGACGACATTTTCTACTCTGATGGTTTCAGTAGAACCTGGTTTCCTGTGATTTTGCTTTCTGCACTCATAAATGAGTTTCCTTTACTTATGGGTAGGACTCGTAGTTGTCAAAGATTGAATATTTTATGTGACAGAAAAGTCATTATACGTTAAAAAAAGTCATCTCTTTTAACGAGTGCGTAATCGCCGTGACTGTGTTCCCGTGTATGGGAATTTAATGTTTTAATCAAAATCCTGGCTGCACCCTGGGTGGGAGTATGTCAGCGAGGGGTTTAATCCTCTTTTTCCTACAATAAAAGCATAGTTCGTCAACTTACAAACCACCGGGTCGTTGCACCCACTAATTGTCTTTGTTTAATTTTCCAGATACCGCATCCATTCACGAGTGATGAGCAGTACGAGAGATCCATACGGCAACCATTAGGTAAAACATGGAATACAGCTTCAACATTTAGGAAGCTGACTGAACCCAAGGTAAGAATAGTATTATTGTGTGAAATAACTGATGAGGATCTGGATCTATATCTTCAATTCAAATGAGAATTGAAATAAAAGTAGATTCTAATTTTCATCGAGGTGACAATCATTGGTTTTCATATTTTTCCATAGAGAGAGGAAATCTGATAAGATGGCTTAATCATAGGGCGACCACCTGTCCGGTTACTTGTTCATTTTCGGTACGACAATAGATAAACAGTTAATGGTTTTAGATACATGGCGGCAAGGGGGTACGTCCAGCAATCCTCTTGCACATACCTAATTATTCCTCAGAAGCATTTTGCGCCACAATGTCGAGTTGAAATGTGTTCTAAGTCTTCAGACTTCCTTCCTTTCAGGTCATGTACAGTAATAGCTGATTTGGTAGTCCTGACTGCTTGAAATGAAAAAATCTATTTTCTTCACAGGTCAAGACAGTGATGGGTGCCATAATCAATCCGATGGACGAGGATGACGCATTCGATGACACGAAACCCCAGCAAAGAAAACGAGTCATGCATGACGACGGAAATATTGGATTTGATGACGTCGTCGATACAAGTGTGAAAAAAAGAAGGCAGCGTAGAAAAGGAAATAAAAAACATAAAAAATGATTTTGGGAATAAAAAGGTTGAGACAATTGAATTTTTTGTGTATGAAATTAATATAGGGATTAGAGGTAAGATCGAGCCCAAAAATTCCAGAGTCGGCCCGACCCGGACCCGTGGGTATTAAACCCGGCCCGAGCCCGACTAATTAACTGGATTTGCAGGCCTGAGCTGGGTATGGTAAAGTATAGAAAGAATATTTTCGGGTGTCAAAGGTCGCGGAAAGGTCCATTACAGCTTCTTCTCTGTTTTATTCAAATTATTTCTTTCATAACAAGTATTCCTTTGTTTAGTGTCCACACATAGTTTTAGTACTATTTTGTTATAAACATATATTTATTTTAAAAAATGTCAGCGATAGCGAAGCCCAACCCGAACGTAATGATTGACATTTCAGGCCCGACCCGAACGTAATGATTGACATTCCAGGCCCGGCCCGAACGTAATGATTGACATTTCAGGCCCGACCCGAACGTAATGATTGACATTCCAGGCCCGACCCAAACGTAATGATTGACATTCCAGGCCCGAACATAATGCTTGACATTTCAGGCCCGACTTGACCCGGCCCGAAATCTCGGGTCGGGCTTCAGATCTTAGCTCTGATGGGGATTGGATAGGATTTCCATATTCATTCTGTGGGGAGAAGAGCTCTCGGAAATATGACAGATGTTTAGTATGGGTTAATTCAGTTATTTTAGGGACTCTACCGAAGTATTTGTACCAAGATGGTGCACAACCTGAATCCTCACCTGGTACATATACTAAGTTTAGGTTGTGCGCCATCTTGGTACGATACTTCGGGAGCACCTTTTTGGGCATGCATGGTGGGTAAATATGCTCTGCTAAACCAGGGATAGGATTTTATATTATTTATCCGACAAGAAAAAATCTTATTCAGTCATGCCCACGCAGGGTATTCAGTGTTGCGATACTGTTTTTATCACAAATTGATTCTTGCTTGTGATTCTCTACTGAGCCTGGGACTTTTATATTAAATCGCTCTGGGAAAGCCGCTATGTCCCGCGGCGGGATTAAAAATTCTAAGAACGGGTTCATCTTTGTATTGAAATTACCGAAAACAGGTTCCCTCGTTTCAGAAAAAGTTTGAATCTCACTACGTAAGAGGCATTGACACGGCATGCTCTGCAGCAGGTGTTCCTTAAGTTGATTGACCGTGGGCCAAATTTTGAAGCAGGAAGATATTAGCGGACCAGGAAAAGGGTGCGACGGTACAGCTGGGAAAAATTTAAAAAAAAAATAGGCAGCAAGCTTGATTTTAGATACACCTAGCATCGTAATTTGTAATGTAATAATTAATAATCATAACGGTTTGATGATTGATGAATACCCGAGCAATAACAAGCACGACTTTCAGCAAGGAATTTGCGACTGATAGCGCTTAATGAGGTTAAATCTGGCATGCGGCCTCGCATAAATGGATACTTATGGTTTGCTTGAATTATTACGATTATACACGTGCTTTATCTATGATAATGACGTAACAATTGGTGGTATCTGGAACGTAAACACATAAACTATAAAGTGTTATAAGCAGGGTAACCATATCGTGCTTATTTCTAAGATTTGTGCTTATTTTCTAAACCCATGTCTCATAAAGTAATGTTGTGCTTATGTCTAAGGAAGGTGCTTATTTTTGAGTTGCGTGGTTATTTTGTCTTAGAAACACGAATGACCAACGAAAAAAACTCTCTTAAGCGAACAGTCTGTCAAAGCTCTTATACAAGTTAGAGTAAATTTAGACTTCAGTTGCTCTGAAATAAGAAATGCACAGCTTGATCTCAAAGACCAAAAACTGCTAAAGCAAATTTTGGTAGCGTTAAATATAAATGATTTGGCTCAGTGATGGTAATATTTGAAAGTATGTGTTTATGTTATTTAATAATTTATATGATACGCACATCTTGGGGTGGATGAGCTGATTAGGCGCAGACGCCCTTTGGGTTGCTGTTTCCCGTTGAAGATGTCGAATGCTGGATGTTTGATGTGTGTATTATGTGTACCTTTATATAGCTTTTCATATTTTAATGTTTGCGCGGGGCTGTGATATCATGGCGCTCCATTGCTTTTTGCGATTTCATGGCTTTCCTTGCTCGAAACGACTTCTAATAAAAAAAAACGTGTGCAGATAAAAAAATATTGATGTAAGGAAGAGAATTTTGTATGATTTCTTTCTCATTTTATTCTGCGTTTCTGCCGTTGTCAGATACCCCTCAAAATACACCCGTGCTTATTTTTGACTTTATGTCAGTGCCCTTCTACGGGGGTTCCGCGTAACCCTAGGATTCCGCAATACATGCAGTGGGGTCCCGTCAGTTAATAGGGTTCCTTAGGGGCTCCGCGTTTTTTTTAGAGAAATCATTTCTTGCTTTAGCATGTTCATGCGTCGTTGCGAAGTTGTTTAATTAAAGATAATTCAAAAAGATTGCAAAGGAAATGCAAGAACAACCTAGTCATTGAATTTCACGCTTGTTACCTTCTTTCTGTTTCGCTGTTGAGCTAGAAATATTTGAATTACAAATATTTCGTGTTAAGAGTATTTTGTGTTTTATTTTAAATTTTTTCAATTTATTTTAATATTTAAATTTCCATAAAAATCGAAAAAATATATCAGGGGTTCCACAATAACAAAAAGGTTGAAGAGCACTGCTCTAGATAGATGGTAACCCTGGTTATAAGTCAGGCGGGCCATTTTAAATTGTTACGAGGGCCGTAATCGGGCCTCGGTCTGGGAACCCCTGCTCTACAGTCTATGATTACATAAATCTAATACATAACTTTCGAAGAGCCAAATACAAAAAAAAAATGATGGCATACGTCTACTAAAACAAGAAGACGTTTGCTGATTATCACGATGTTCCTGGATAGGACTCTTGTCGGAACACTGCATCGGGTATCATAGGCATGGCGTGTGGGAGCATGCCCCTCCCTCCCCCCTAAAAAAAAAACGTTTTTATTTGAATGCAATTTTGTAGTAAGACATAAATTCATACAAACGATTCACTGAAAATCGGACGTTTCTTGGTTTTCTATCAAAAATTCTTTCACCAAATGAACCAAACGAGATAGATGAAAATGCGCGCTTATATGCCTTGGATAATGCCAACAGCGAAGTACGTGTAGAGCGATTTTAAGATATTTTTTAGATATCTTAGACAGCGAAGTACGCCTTGAGAGCATTAGATATCAGTGGCTACTCTTATTTGGATTTGTAAGGAGCAAAAGGCACCAGTGAGACTTGTATTACGTAAAAGTGTAGTGAAAGTAATTTTTTTTTTTAATATCAAAAGACATTGGAATTTTATTGGACTGCATTCCTTTCATCGAAAAAGTTAAAATTTCACCCAGGTTTTTGATGGTTTTTAAAAATGGCCTAAAATGTAGAAATTTTGGTATAATTGACATATTTTGTGATGATTCGTGACACAAAGTGTTTGATTGTGTGATACAGTTATTTAATATGAAATGGACTCACTGGATTAAGTTAATAAAGTTTAAATGTTTGTAGTGCTGTAGACATTTCCTCACTTATTTAACGATTTATTACCAGAATTTTGAGAGATGATAGAGGCCGCTATTCCGAAGTGGAAAAATGTCCTGTGGTGTCACGTCCTGTAGTGTCACATACAATATGCACATCATTGGCATGGATTTACATTGTCACATTAGGTGAAATGAGCAACACATAGAGGGGTCCTTCAGCTAAATATTATAAGCTCATGCTGTACCATCGCAAAAATTTACAGCACAACACAATGTAGGCCTACTGTTAATGCATGGTGGATTTACCGTCCTGTAGTGTCACGCTATATTTTTTTATATCCACTAAGTATGTCTTGGGTGTAACTTTTGTGCAATTTTTTCCATATTCAATAAAGCAACTGATGGGAGAATGAAACAAAACATGTCGCTGAAAATGTATGAATATATTGCATCTAACAACATGAAAAATTTCTGGAATTGTCCTGTAATGTCACTTGGAATAGCCCATGTACAGATTGCTTAGGACAATTAGCGCAATATGTCAAGGTTATCTGCAGTTTGTATAAAAGCACCGAATTGTCGATGAGTCGTTTTAGCAGATCTCGATACAATAGCGTACAAGTAGGATGAGTGATTAGTATCACAAAAACACAATCGATGGCACATCTTAACACAAAAGCCGTTACTTATTTGTCGTCGCCGTGGGATGCCGTGAATATTAGCGGCTGTCTGTTGCAAATCAATAGATAGATGATAAATAATATTATCAGGAGAGTATTTGCTATTGTTAACCAGATGTGAAAGCGTTAAGTAATTATCGTAATTAAAGCGAGCGATAAATTCGACGCCTAATCGTGATTAGTGTAAGTGCGCCGAAAAACTTTTTTTTACGTTTCCCTGCAAGTCTGCAATCGCTTTACACCGTTGGGAATTTTTAATGAGATTCGAATCGTGAACATAAGGTATTCAGTTATTTACAATATCTGGTAGGCTTATTTGTTAAACAAATTTACGTATGTCTCGGAACGCCCCTGTCTTTAAAAACTGTAAACATTCAAAAATAATAGAATTTTTTCGAATATAGTCACAGTGCCAAATATGGCAACGCGCAGGACCGAAATTCGAGGAAATTACCCAAACTTTGATTCAGGGGTGTGTAGCCTACTTTTAATACAGGAGGGCCGGATACAAATGACTGGGTGAAACCGCAGGCTAAACCTTTATTTAACATAGGCTTCCTAATAGTTGCAGGCACAAAAACTTTGGTTATTGATCTTTTGACATGCGTTGTTCGCTTCGCGCTTGCCAGCTGTTGGGGCATTGTAACGTCATAGATCAGGGTGGTCCAAACCCATGCTCGTCGCTTCATCATCTGTGGCCCGCGTCGCATTTTCGGCAGGCTGAACAAAAAATCGCATTTGATGTTGTTTCGTCATAAAAATAATAAAAAAATTTGACATAATGTTACATCACAAATGTCACTGAATTGACAAGTGTTATGGCTAGGTGAGTAACTAGCGAAGCTGAATAATGTGATTGGCTAGTCTAAATTGTTAACTGGCTTTCTGTCTTTTTGGTCGGCAATACATGCTTAAAAAATAGGCCTCATAAAAAAATAAAATCGAATGAGGAATCTATTAGACTATAGGTTGGCTATGTCTAATAACTAAATATTAATGTTATGGCCGAACAATATAATTCCTGCCGTTTTTTTTTTTGCAACCAGCCTAAACAGTATTACAAAATCTGTTGCCTATATGTCAGAAATTTACTAATTACTCTTCTGTATCTCATATTTGGTAAAATTCGGTAATCAATCAATCTGCAGTTATTTTGTGAACATGAGTTTGAAATGAAACTGACCAATTTTAGCCGATTTTTGACTGGATATGGGAGGGAAAATACCACAATACTTGCTTGATATGTCTGTTGTGTCGGTGACAATCTTTAACGGCATTTTTTCTTTATGATACTTTCTCCGTTGAGAAGAGTTTGAAATCTTACAATAAAAGTAGATATAGTAAGATTTTTGCACGTTTTAGTGAGTTTTTTGGTGGAATTTTCATGTTTAGCTTGATAAATGACAAATAATGATCAATGTGTTTGGACAATAAAAGTGTTTGTTTTATATTGCACTGTTCACCTATTGTGGCCCGCGAACAATACAAAAATAATAGTATGGCCTCCTAGGCCGACAACCTTGGACCACCCTGTCATAGATAATAAATTGGACTCAGGTATACGTTCTGCAACGCAAAAGGATAGGGATTTACTCACACGTAACCGATTGGAATTAAATTAAAAAAAACTCGTTTTGTGGGACGCACATCATTCATTGCGGACCGCATTTGGCCCGCGGGTCGCTTGTTGCACACCCCTGCTTTAAATGATGATTAATACGTTATTAATTAATATATTTTCTGGTTTGGCAAAAGCAATAAATTCCCTCTCTCGCTACCGTAATTTCGCATGGCTTCGCAATGTCTATCCCGTATTGGGGACTATTTCGAGCATTGACTCATAATAACCGTCGATCCGACCGCGTAACTGAGTTAATTCAAGTTCAAGTACGACTGCTTTTCTCACCTCAAATAAACCCGTTCGGCCGTCACCGCAAAATTTCCCACTTTTGTGTAAGAAAAACGCCGGTCGCGCGATGCTGGAGGCCACGTTTCGCTTTCACGCGTCTCTCGCAGCCAGCAGTCATGCGTTTTGAGCGTGTGTCACATGCTTTTGCGTAATTTCATTATAAAACGTTCACACAAGTGTTAATATTCTGCAAAATTGTGATTTTCAGACTTAATCCATGCAAAATAAGTTAATATTTGAGGTATTTCAAGGGATGTATCAAAAAAGCCACCGCAGTAGGTTACGTCATCAATGAATAACAAACGTTTTCCGCCAAAAGTCGCACGATTGAGTTCAATAACCTGACACGCTTGAGTGGTTCTCGCGTTCATTCACCTTCATACTCTGATCTTTAGACGAGTTACCGAGTTTCTCTGAAAGAAAGCTTGTTATTCTAAGAAAGTTGCAATTATATTTAAACAAAGAATCTGTTTTGAAATCAAAGTACAATTTGCAAAGCAAGATTTCTTTGTTATTGGAATATGAACGTTTGGAACGATCGAAAGACAACTAGGGGTTATGTAAGGTCATTCTCCGCGTGTCCGGTTCCGTTCTTACTACGCAAAATCTATTTTTAATAATCAATTGTAAAGAATAGGCTAGAGTTGGGAGTCGTTTATTTTTAATTGATAGTTTGGTGTTCAGATATTAAATAAATAGATGAGGTGATGTATTTTAGTTCTCTGCCATGATATAAAAATGACCAGCGGTAATTTTATTTCTTGGCCGTGCACCAAATTCAGAAATCTGGAAATTGGAAGAAATCGCATTTCAGGGTGAAGAGAAGACAAGACGTCAAAAACCAACGCTAGTTATCGTGCTGCGGCACCCTTGGGAAAGTCGGATACACATAATAAATAGATGATAGAAATTGAGAAAATGATGAGTTAAAAATATCAATAGAATAACGTCGAACTAGACTAAATGTACATGAAATATGTTATTTAAAACAGTAAAACTAAATACCGGTACCGTATGTTATGTTTTTCTGTGTCAGAGTTTCTGTGTTTGGAGTAACGGTAACTAACTGGTTAATATTACCTCAGTACCTAGAAGCATAACTACATAAAGCTTAAGCTTCTTCTGTTCTTGGACTATATTCTGATATTAAATTATTATCTCAAATTTATCAAATTCAAATGAAACCACAGGAGACTGGGCAGCTGGGAGAAGAAAAACAGTAGGCAATTTCATTGACAAATGTCACCAAACCACAGCGTTTCGTTGCCTGTTCAGGTCAAACTTTTCAGCTTTTAGAGTCGCAGAGTTAGGATTTTCATATTGCAGTATTGCTCTCTGTTACAGTGAATCTAATGTGGAAGGAGTTAATTGTTTCAAATGCATGGACTTGATGTTAAGAACATTGTCTGCATGATTTCTGCCTGCAGTATGTGCACGCTTCAAATAACTCAATACTTTTGGGTGAGCAAACACGTTTTACTTTTTTTGACAGCCCTTTTACAGTTTTAATCTAAAATCTGTATGTTTTAAACTTTACTTGAGGTTTCGTTTGCTTTCCTGATTCTGTAATCAGTTTTATTTATTTTGTTTTTATCGTCTCTCTGCCTCTCTTGTGGTAACCATTCCATATCCTGATATCGGGTTTGGGATTAGTTAGCCAGGTAATCGCTGCCTGTAAAAACATAATATTCTAAATCCCTATAACTGGTATGAGGTCGCCCAAAATACATTTGTTTACAAAAATTTATTTATTTTTTCAATTTCCATATTTATATTCTCACTTATGATAATAAGTTAATAGTTGGGCAGTACCATAATTATATATTCATTATCACCGATTCTGAACGAACAAAATACGTGAAAACAATGGCTCCCGTACCTTACAATGGCAACGACGTATGGGTACGAAGAGAGGACTCACCTACTGGTTCATCATCTAGTCAATATTTTGACCCTAATGTTGCGGACAGCTCATCGGCATTGATTTCTGCGGACCAAGGGAAGGAATTAAACGGACATATACGATCAGAAAGTGAGTCTTCTGAGCCGCCTGGACTTGCAAACATTCCAAAATGGCGTCGATACGCTGGAGTTGGGATACTATTTTTCATCAATCTTCTAAATTATATGGATCGTTACACAATTGCTGGCGTTTTGATTCAAATTACAGACAATTTTGAGATAAACAACGCAATGGCAGGACTGTTACAAACTGTCTTCATAATCAGTTATATGCTTGTAGCTCCCTTATTTGGGTACCTTGGAGACAGATACAACCGAATTATTATTATGGTCGTTGGAATGCTGATGTGGTCAGGATTTACTCTTGCCGCATCGTTTATTTCCAAACCTGAACACTTTCCACTGTTTCTACTTACTAGAGCTCTTGTCGGAATAGGGGAAGCATCGTATTCGACTATCGCCCCTACTTTGATTGGAGACATGTTTGCTGGAGCGGATCGTACCAGAATGTTGTCGGTATTCTTTTTTGCGACACCTGTTGGTAGCGGTCTTGGTTATATCGTCGGTTCTGCTGTAGCAAAAGCTCTTGGAGGATGGGAATGGGCATTACGAGTCACCCCTGGTTTGGGTATCGTTGCAGTTTTGCTCCTCATTTTTGTCTGCCCTAACCCGCCCAGAGGAGCGTGTGAAGCCAAAGCAAAAGGCGTCGATAAAAACCAGAATACTTACCTAAACGATTTGAGTTATCTTACAAAAAATAAGTCGTTCATTTTTGTTACACTTGGCTTTACATTTATGGCTTTCGTTGTTGGATCACTTACTCTATGGGGTCCAACATATTTTGCGTATTCCCAAATCGCGATCGGGGCTTTGGAACCGTGTTTGGAAGACGATTGTGACTACGCAGGCATCAGTTTTATATTTGGGCTGATTACATGCATCGCTGGTTTTGGAGGCGTTGGAATTGGCGCTGAATCCGCACGGCGTTGGAAGCTCAATGGATGTGCATATGCTGACCCTATTGTATGTGCTATTGGACTTTTACTTGGTGCACCTTTGCTGTATATTGGATTACATTTAGCGACTGTCAATATAAATGCCGCATGGACTCTCGTATTTTTCGCTGATTTAACAATTTGTTTCACATGGACTCTAATCAGCGATATGACCTTGTACGTTTGCCAGCCCAGTAGAAGGTCGACTGCAAACGCTGTACAATTACTAGTCGGACATTTATTTGGTGATGCTGGGAGTCCATATTTACTCGGCGTTATCGCAGACTCTTTATTAGCGGCAAAACCTGATACGTATATGAGTCGATACCTTGCGTATCAGCGATCAATGTACATTACATTATTTGCCTGTGTTATAGGGGGAGGGGGATTTTTATTTGTTTCATTATTTATCGTTGAGGACAAGAAAAAAGTTGACGACTTCTTAAAAGGGTCGGATTCTTCAGCCTCTACAAAAACTAGTTCCGCTAATAGTAATATCTCTATCGGTATGGATGATAGGATTCCAAAGTTGCAAGTTAATGACAACGACCTTCTCAACCCCGCTTCTATGAATAGCAAAACAGAACTATATCTTGAAAATGAAGACGCGGATGAACAATTTCTTGTTGGAAAAGATTCTGAAATTTAAATTTCTTTTTTCTTTATTTGTTTAAATTATTTTTTGTTTTTATCTTAGGAGGGTTGTGTAGTATAGTACCTACATATTGCTGTGTATGTAGGAGTACAAATTAGCGGAATGTTTGTAGTTGAAATCGCAGTGTCACAGTTATGGTTCAGTAATTATACTCTGCTATGCCATAAAATACAATTTGGCAGAATATTTCAATTCAAATTATAGCCTCTCGATTCTGCTAAGTTACAGATTAGCAATTACACTTTGGTATTCTAGAATAACATAGCGACAGAATATAATCATTTAAATCACAGCAGTCAAATTCCTCCATTTCACAGTCACATGGTAATGGTCAGATTCCAATTTTTTACTATACTACACATAACTTCTCTATTTCAGCAAATATACTGTGCCGTAATTGATGCTTACAATTTTTACGCTCTAATGATCAGGGGATGACCTGAAACTTTTAAAAAATTGAAAAGAAATGTAATTCGAAGAAGGTGTTTTTTTAGGGGATTAGATAATGGAACTTGCTGTTTTATTTAGAATATCCTGATTCTGCATTGAGAATAGGATATATGTTGAATTTGAAAAGTTACATTTGGCAACAAACCTATTTTTTCTTGGGTTATAGATAATTTGGAGCAGTAGTTTTATATATCGTTGCCCCTTTACGGAATTCTACAAATCATTATTGCCCTCCATATGCCAATACAAAAATGTGAAGTTACACACAAATTTATCACAAAGCAATTAAAAATTTAGTCTAATCTTTGGCCATTGTTGTATTTCAATTGCTTGAAGCAACAATTTTCATCCACGTTCGGAGTTGAGACTTTCAAATTTTTCACCTTTGCTCACGTAAAATTGCTTATATTTATTTGACAAAAATTTTGATCCATGTTGATCTCAAAAATTTTTTTTATTCATTAGGCTTATGATATTAGGTGGTTTATAAATGTTATAAATTTTTTGACGATTATTTATAAAGTGGGGACCAAATTACCCATTGCCCCACTTTCACAAATTAACCCCTACTGGCGGAAATTTACATTGCCCCACTTTTTGTTTATCTTATGTTATTCAATACTTTGCTAGTCCAACGTATCCTAATGGTGGAACAATAACATTTCATACTGCGCGAAAACATCTGCAAATAGATTCATTTATGCGACTGTTCATATAAAATTAAAAACTGTCAAATTCAAAGTTTTTGTGTGAATTTTTTTTATTGTACCTCAATTTAACTAAAACTGATTCATCACTACACTTATATTTGCTCTACTTTAAAAATTTGAATTTTAAAACTGTTTACAACTGACACTGATTATTTTGGAAGATAAAATCAGAAACTACTGTCATTTCTTACTTACACTCTATGTGCGAAGTAGCAAAAAGTGTGGATTTTCTCAGTAATGAAATTAACCAGTTGAGAACTTCCATCCTGGAAGAATTCTTTAATTTGTTTTTCATGCAGTAGCGAAAATTCACCCCCAAAACAAGTCAAAAGATATCCCAAGAGTGGAATTTTACCCTCCTACTTTAGGAAAAGATTACTTCTATTTCCAAGAGATGCTGCAGTATAAGTGTGTAGTAGCGGAAAGTGTATATTTTCATGTAGCAAAATTAACCCCCAAGGCGAATTAAAACCCCTCTTCCCAGAGGACAAATTTACCCCGGATACCCTACTTACTCTAGAGGTAAATTTGATTAGTAGCGAAATGTATAAATTTCCTCTCTCCTCTCCTTTTCTCTCCTGCAAAATTTACCCCTAAGTTGTTTAGTTAACCCCCTTCCAAAGAGATGAATGGAGTCCCAGCTTAGTTTTTCAATAAAAAGCTTGATGTATGTGCTCTTGCTGTAATTTATAATTTTGTCGCACTGTTGATGTTTCCACAATTTTATCTTTGTTCTTGAATTCTTAATTAGCATCTATGAATAATCGTATAAATTTAATTTAAAATAGCCATCACTAGATGGTGTAGTTTGCTATTTTCAAATTTTTATTTGTGTTTCTATTTTATTGATACCTTTCACTCACCCCTGCATTTGTGACACAGAATCTATTTATTATTTCGAAAAATTATTTCCAATTAATGCAAACATGTATACTGCTTGCACTGCAGGAGCACTTTTGCTTTGAGGTAATCTAATGGAAAGGTGGCTATTTGATTTAAACTCTACCAAGAACTATTAGTCACTGATAATAACGAAATACAGTAATACGTATATCTTTGCAGATGAGCCGCTGCCTCCTGAAAACGGCTCTAAAATGATGAATTTATAAAATTCATCGTAATAGCCTATCGTACAAATCGTAACACGCACCACCTATCACGGCAAAACGTTGCAGGAGAAAATTAATGAAAATTATAGCCATTTTTGTTATGTTTTGCTTTCATTAAAAACGGTAAGAAGTGTCTCAAAATCCTTCTTATTATCAATGTCAAACCGTTTAGTGCGATCAGAGTTATGCGTGTGTAAGCCGATTTCATTAGTTCGGCAACTGCTTTCTTTTAGTTTTATATGGCTCGGCCTGAATGTGAGGATATACGGACTAAATCCCAATTTTTCTACTTTTAATTGGGAAATTAGGTGTCGTTGCTCTATTATACCCAGCTTCGGTTCGTCGCGGCTCCCACTCTCCGGTACAATATTGAGCATATTTTCTCATAATTTGTTTGATTGATTTTTCGCTGGTTGGAAAAACTAAATTTAACTTGACTTAGCGAAATACTTGCAGTACTTCTAGATAAAATATCATCTTTAAATCATTGAAGTGTAAAATTGCGGCATCAGGCCTATTCTGTTTGGAGGTAATTATTCTGGCCAGTCCCTGGTTTCGATTATTTATTATTTGACAAAATTTTTCTTGACTCGAAAATTTCATTCAAATGCATTTTGTACTTGACTGATTCCTTATCTGTTGCCATTCTGATTTCTTGCTCGTAAATGAATTTCTAATTTATGTTTACTTTTCCATATTATGTTACAATATGGTGTTCATAAAGTCTTAAAAATGTTTTCAAATTGCAAAAGGAATTTATCGATACCATTTATAGTTTGTTGGCCATACAGGTGCATAAATGAAGTAAAAAAACTTTATAAAACACTGATTAAAATAAAACAAACCCGGTTAAGATATACTGAGAACTGAATTCATAACAAAATTGAAAATGGTAACAAGACCTTTATGAACACCCCGTATTTGTGGGTTAAATTAGGGCTACTCAACTATTTTTACTGAAGATTCGCAGACAAAACTTTTTGGTGTCCAATCTTTCCAGAATTTATAGTTTAAGAGCCTTTAACGCGCACTTTCTCGGCTAGCTTTGGATCCAGGACGCGATCTACAAGTTGAGTAGCCCGGGTAAGGTTAGGTTGGGGGTTATTATGTAGGTTGGTGTTTTTTATAAGTTCCTATGAGAGTGGTGCATTATTTTTTAAGTGTCTGTAATTTGAATGTTCAGGAATTTAGTTTGAAACTAAGTGCTGATATAGAAACATCAATAATTTATGGAATATATTCAATATTACACAACTATTCGAACATTGTTATCTAATATTAAATGTGAGACCAGTGAGAAGAAAGCGATATAAATTATGCGATGTTTTGAATTGCCTGTTTCAGTGGTTTCTTCTCTTATCCGCCCGCATTTTGAACATATAATGATGCAAAACTGTTAAAACTAAAAGTACCGGGAGAAAATTTCGACTGGCTTTATATGGCTGAATTTGTTTGCGTAGCCTAACCCTAACCTGGTAGGCTGGTACACATACTACGTTCCGGTGTCTGCCATCTTGGTTCACATACCTCGGGAGTACCCATTTATGTGCATGATAAAAAGCTCATGTATCACACTGATGTGCATTAAGAAACTTTTCCTTCCAGTGATCGAACACTAACAAAGTCGAATTTTCGTTCCAATACGCTGTGATTTGTGCAACAGAAATTTAATTAATGTAAAAAAGTTTGGGATCCTTTGGTCAATGCAGACACACCTGGGCAATGTCATTTATGTGTTCTTTGGGACATTTATAACGTGCTGTCAATATAGTTTTTTTTTTTACACATGTTCAAGTATCCATTTATCTATGTTTATTTGTGGCCCCACAGTGAAAATAATGTCATGTAGATCTTCATCCAGGGACGGGGATGGCCTTTCATCGAATCAAACTCAGACTTCTAATTTAATTTCTGTATTTTTGCGAACTTTCACAAATAAATTTACTGTGCTATATTGTATTTATATCTGGTTTAACATTGCTGTTTGTAGGAGAGGCTCCTTTTAACAGGGGTTGTAAGCAGGAATTTTCAGAGGGGAAGGCTCCTGAAATTTCCAATTGTCAAGCTTGCGGGTCTGACCAGAGGCAGAGAAACGTGGGTTACCACCCTCAACTTTCTGTCTACGGCCTTTCCACCTAGCTTTTCTTTGACAGTGTGGTGTTTTATTTTTTCCGTGTCAACTTATGTTATAAATCCATTAACAGGTGCCTCGCCTACTTTCAGTCACAAATTTCTATATTATTCACACATCACATTCACAAGACAGCTTATTCAATTTTTCGCTTGTTTTTTGTAGCTTAGAATAAAACCTAGCTTAAAATACGCCGATACAATAATCATTTCATTGCAACAACCTTCAACCTTTGAACCAGGATGTTTCAAGACGATGACCTTGAACTGAGAGATGGGGAAGATGAAGAGGATATCTCGCCTGAATTATGGCAGGAAGCTTGCTGGATTGTTATCAGCTCTTACTTTGATGAAAAAGGTAGGATTTGTATTTTTTCGGAAGTTTTATGCCTCTGCCTTTCATTATGTATCGATCTTAAGATCGGTAAGTATGTTGATAGGTATTTGTCTGTTTGTTTATTTGTCTGTAAGATACACGCGATATCTCACGAAAGCGAGGATGAATCCGCTCCAAATTTTGCATATGCATTCATCATACCTCGGATCAGAAGCCTATTGATTTTGGATGAATTATGTCGTATAATTAGCGAGATATTGATTAATTAGTGATGGGACACAAGGTGTCACTATGGATTAAGAGCGCTGTTTTGGGGGTTCCCACAACTTTCAAGCGATAAGTCTTCAATCTCTGACCGATATTCTCGTTGAATCCTTGACACTTAATAACTGCTGTAGCCACTTTGATTAACGGGTCCAGATCCGAGAACAAAATAGCAGGTGTCTTCAGAACCGGAGGTTGCCTATCACTGCTCTGGCTTTAGGAAGCAAGAAAATGTCCAGAAATCGTTATTTCAAGACTTTAAATATTTTTTTCCTGATTATGATAAAAACGGACATGGGTGTGGCTATTTGATTATTGATACAGGTTTCCCAATGTATCGTTTGAAGCAGTGGTTCTCAACCCATTTTTTTCAAGCGGCCCGAAATTTTCTAAAAAATTAATTTTGTAAGATCTCTCGACGCAAATAGTACCGTATTTATTCGATTATAACGCGCAAAATTTTGAACTGAATTTTAGGCAAAAAGTTGTTACCTTATGTGCTTACCAGTAGTTAGTAGAGAAAAAATAAAAAAAAGAATTTTATACCAATTTTCATTCAAAATTTAAAGGTGCGCGTTATACACGAGTGCGCGTTATAATTGAATAAATACGGTAAATGGCATGTAGCCGCAAAAATTAATTGATATAAAACAAAGTGAAAAAGCTGAGCTAGTTTGCCCTCAGCGTGGTTTTGAAATCCAGTATCTCACAAATACAATTACTCCAACTCGTACAATTACTATTGAGCAACACTTCAATACCCAATATAAAATGAACAATGAAATTTACTATAAAATAAAATTGATAACTTTCGAGTTTCTGTTGAAAAAACGATTGGCTCAAAAAGATTTTTAGGCGACCCAGTTTCGAGTCGTGACCCATAGGTTGGGATCACAAGTTTTATGGATACTGATCATGCAAAGAGATTGTAATTGAAGTTTGCTTAAAAAAATTCATCTATTTTGTATTTGATATATTTATTATGTTTTTTTCAGTCAGGAATATCTTTCGTAAAAATTTTAGGTTTCCATGTCAGAGCAGCTTGGTATTTTAGATTTGGTATAGCAGTGCTGTGATATTTGGAAGAAATCCAATGTAAAAAGGGAATTCTCAAAAACACAGATTTGTAGAGTGTATTCACTAATTCACAATACATTTAATCAAAATACCTCCATTGCTATAATCAGCATTTGCTGAAGTTAGCAAGCTGTCTATTCTACCACTAAACCACGTTGTCTTCTGAGCCCGAGGGCAAAATGTAAGACTCAGATCATGTAATGTTTTCTCTATAAATATACAGTATGTCAGTAACATGATAATATGCTTGGGATAAAAATGGCCAATATTGATCGAATGTTTGAAAATATATTTGATTTTATCTCTGATGTAACATATTGATAAATTAGAGTATTTTCTTTCAAAAAAGTATTGTATTTTTGCGAAGAAATTTGCTCAAAGCAAAGTTGTGCACACACTCAAAAGTAATCAATATCGGTCCATAAGGGCAGTCACGAGCGACCAATGCTAAGGGATTGTGAGATACTGGAACAAAAAGAATTATTGCATATTATATTTAGCCTCTATTAATATACAAAGTTTTGTGCATACTCTGTTTGAAATTATCCATTTGAAATTAAATCTTTTTTTGCTTGCGTGCGTTACTAAATATGAAAAGTTGTGCTGTTGAACAAAACCATGTCCATATCATAACTATGCACTTAAAAATTTTACATGTCAAATTAGTAGTACTTGAGAGTGTATTCATATATTTGCCATAAATTTGGTCATTCATATATGGAACTGTTTTCCTGGTACTCCCATAGTGTGTGTACCAGGTCAGGGTTAGGCCAATTTTCCTTATTTTAGTTCTATTACGAGTTCGGGGATTGTCTGTGTTTGCCAAGTGAATATATACCCCCTGCCCATAGGTTTCAGTCCCTTTACGTAACTTCTTGTGGAGTGGGCGAACAAAATTATTTAGGATACCCCAATATTTGTACACATACTTATCGAGCGCCGTTTGTCTTTCTTTTGCCATACTAATTACGACCTGAACAACCGTGAATCCTACCTAGTTTAGTAGGGTTAAAGGTTGAAGAAGGTGTGAATGTCCTCAAGTGTTTAGACCAGGGGTCGGCGACCTACGACCCGCGGAATAATATGATCCGGCCCGCGACGTTTCATTGAATCATAGTAACAAAACAGCTGTTTTGACGATTATATTCTTTATTCAACATAATTTATTGTGAGAGGTGTGTAGACTAAATTATATTATAATCTAACAAGTATAAAATTCACAATTACGAAGAAAGGTGGAGCTGAGTGTAAAGGGTTTAATGGCGCCGACAACATTCAATTGGAATATTTTGAATCACAATGCAATGAAGATATAAATCTATATTCTATTCGAGAGATGTATCATTGCTTAATTTTTATTATAAAAAGTATCATCCATTCGATTTCCAACTTTCTAAAAATATGTGCGGCCCGCCAATGACTTGCAATCCTTTATTTTGGCCCGCGAGCGACAAAAGGTTGCCGGCCCCCTGGTTTAGACCTTTGTAATATTTTTTTCTATTGTCATATTAACTTGAATTATTACCAGAACCCTAAATATCTGTCATATGCCACCTAATTGAGTAAGGTTGAAGGTCACAGGGGGTTCGTATGTTTTTAGACCTCGTTGCAGTTGTAAGCTTTTTTTGGTGCTCCCGAAGTATGCGAACCAAGATGGCGGACATCGGAACGTAACAGGTTAGGGTTAGGCGATAATTTTTTTCCAATTTTCCTTATTTTAGTCCTATTATCAGTTCGAAGACTAGCCAAGAGCCTCCCGTAGTGTTTATACCTAAAATTATGGCCTAACCCTAACCTTGGAATGTCCGCCATCTTGGTTCGCATACTTCGGGAGCCCCCTTTTTTATTGCCACTTCAACCTAAATTATGGCGGAACCCTAAATGTATGTTGTATCCCACCTAGTTTAGTAGATTTGAAAAATGTGTATGTCGTAAGTGCTTTTTATTTGTTCCAATTCAACAATTATGTGACAAATAATTTCGTGTTCTTTTTTTTTGACACATAATACTTGGTGTAAAACATAATTATGGGTGGTGAAAAAAATGTACAATATGTGAATATTATGACAATTGAAATCGGCTATCGTATGTTTACTTATATTTTTACCCTTCTATTTACACTGCTCACATGAAGATAAGGCTTAGTTAGGTTAGGTACATTGTCGTGTTGTTCTCAATGTATAGACATTGTTTTCTGAGTAAATATTTTCCAGACAGTCACCTTCAAAGCGGATCTTTTAAATGACGTGATTTGTGTAGTTTGGAAGTTATAGAGTTAATTTTTAACTTTATCTTGTGATGTTGAAAGAAAGCTTGATTCTGAAACTATGTTTGGTGGTGGTAAATTTCCAAATTTTAACTTATCTTATCGGCTTTTTTGGAGTGTTATGCAACTAGGGATGTGGAGTCGGAAAAAAATTCAGCTCCAACACCCCTCGACTCGGAACTCTGCTAGAATCAAATTTTAAGAGCGTTGTTTCCTGAGCATAGTGGAAGTTTGCCTTGCACTGTTTGCACCATTGAAAAATTGATACTCTGATAACCGGTTTTATTTTGGGTTAATAAAATAATAATAATAATTTGGGTACAAATTTCAGGCTTTTGTTCTGAACTCTCGGGTTAAGTTTTGATAGCAAAATCCTTGGCAATGGCAGTTTTTTTTAATAGATTACCGTATGTTTTGACTTATTTTTGACAATTGGAAGTAAAAAATTTCTGCTAGTTTTTCAACCCAGTGAATTCAGAGTTATGACTCCTTTTGGGGTCCGGTGAAAACATGTGTCATCATTTGACATCTCCTCCCAAAGCGATAACTGCCACACTATAATCATAAATAGTAGTTTTTTTGGAATTTTAGTGGTCACCTGTAAAATTACTCGGAGATGATTATGTTTATGAGTCTCCTTTACTTTTTAGTAAGTGTGTGTAACTTTGCTCAGAGATGAGTCTCCTTCACTCCTGAGTGAGTGTGTGTAACTTTTCTCAGAAATGAGCCTTCTTTACTTTTGTGCGAGTGTGTGTAACTTTGCTCAGAGATGAGTCTTTTTCACTTCTTAGTGACTTGACATGTTTTCTATTTAAGGGAATTTTCATACAATAAACACACAATACACTAATATTACATTACAGGATGCGAATCTGGCTTTGGTTTTTCTATTGAACAATCCCTTGACACACCCTTTAAATACACCAATCAGGACGTCCCAATATTTCCGCATTGTTTCAATATTAAAATTCACGGGAAGCAATTGAATATGGGATTTTTAACATTGATATTATTCGAATGGGATTTGCTTTTGTGTTATGAATAATATACAAGATAAGGACCTCGTTCGAATATTAATAATCTTGAATATGGAACCAAGCCATGTTCTGTTCATCTGATAACACACTAATAAAATATGAGTCCATACAGAAAATTTGCTCAACATTATAAGCCCTACACCTGACATGGACAAAATATAGCCTGCGGGCCAAATCCGACCTATTGGGTAATTCAATCCGGCCCACCTGATGCTGTCACAACCAAATTAAAACTAAATTTTGATGTTTTAGCTAAAAAATAACTGAAGGAATTTGTTATGGCGATTAAATTTAGTTTTGGCATGAGGCTCAATGTTTTCCACTTTTGTTTTTGTAACAATGTAAATATTTGTGCTAATGATTTAGTTTCTGCGAGA